CTGCACTTAATTCCAAATATCAACGAAATGACGGGGCAAAAAAAACTTCGAACATGCATAAAAAAGCAACAGAAACTGCAATTACTTACCTGACAAGTCTCTGGAATCATAGTTTGGTCATAGTGCATTAAACATCCGTTCACGTAAAGCACACTGGCAGCAATTGGTTCTGCTAGATGAAGAACCTTGTAGTTGCTCGAGGCGACTTCACCAATAGACTAGAGAAACAAAGCATTGCTGATTACGGAAAAGCATGGCAAGCGAAATTCGATAAGATCGAGCCTAATTTTCAAGCAAAGCAATGAACAATGTTTGGACCTTCGAATGACTCAGAAAAGGAGTCGACCCTTAAATATTTTGGTACGATCGAAAAATCTGCAGGTGGGAACAACAGGCTATGAACAAGAGCTAAAATACCACTCAATTGGCAAAAGTGCAACAATTTTAAATACGAGTGACCTAACAACTGGTAACGGATAAAATTGGACAATAGGACTCACAGAAGGCATATGTTGATTGGCTTTAGGGACACTCTTGCCTACCTTGAAAACTTTGCGTGCTGCCTCGGAATTTCCTATGGCCATGACATTGATACCAGCCATACAGACGGCGTCCTTTAGGCAAGCAAGAGGAGACGGTACTGCTACGATTGTTGTAGGATACTCTGGAAAGGCGCGAGCGACCGACTGTGCTCCTGCTTCATTTGTATGGGTGGAAATTCCGACAATTATCTCTTGACCTAGGTGGACAGGAGAATCAATGATGCACCTCGAAGCCAGTTAAATACTTGATTGTACTTTAGAAGGTAAGAAAATTCACGAAAGTTATTAAAACTGAATGAATAACTAGAGGTTACATTACCCGTAAAAAGCACATCACTACCCTCCAGTTGTGCTTGATCATTATTCAGCTCAGCAATAGTAAGCCCGATCTCCTTCTTTAATGTCTGACGAACGATACTCACTTCTCCCTGTCGATCTGAACCAAAAGGCCGACACATCAGAGCCGTCCCATTTATAATGACAGCAATGTCACCAACTTTGTGAGCATTCGGTCGACGTTCTTCGGGCCCATACTCCAGAATATTGACCTCCAACTGACGCAACGCATCAACGAATCGGTCGTACTCAGACTTTGCCTTTTCGTAATCGTTCCCGAACGCTTCACGAGACGGCTGAATAACCAGAGCAGTGTTGTACTTAAAAGCCATAGGAGAACTGTTGAACTACGCACGAAACTTTGTTTTAGATATTTTAAGGTCAGAAAGATAAGCTATGGGGGAAAGATAAATGTTAGTGAACAATGCGTAATTACTAAATATTAAAATTACTAAAGTTCCATAGTAGAATTTCAGCAGGAAAATTTTTAAAAAAATGGCATTTTGAAGTATACATAGACATTCAAAACGTATTTTCTTAAAATGTAGCAAAATTTAATAATATCTGGTCGATAATAAAGCCAGACCTTTCTGATCGTAAACAGTTACGCAAAATGTGCCTTACTGATTAGTGTGCGGAATTTAATTACCACGGCAAAGTCGTTATTTCTGTAATGGTTTGGAATGATAGGGTGGTAAAATACTTTGTTTTGTGCACTTCCCATATGTCGGATGGTTGCTTTGATATGTGCCTTGATCTTTTTGCACGTGAGCTGGCTTTCGAATTAGGACAAATCCTACGATTTTTTCTTCTGTGTGGATGAGTGCATTCGGCTAAACTTAATGCCTCCTCATAACGTTTGCTGATCTATAAGGCAGTATTACGCGTTAAGGAAAAATGAGGAGAGGTAGCGCTTTGGGATGGCATGAATGTTATCTAGAATAAACAAGGGCACGGTTTAAATCAAATTGTTTGTCAGTCACGCAGATAGTCAAATTGACAAGTTGATGCATTCTTCTTCCCTACCTTTCAACTACAGCTGCTATTCTTCTCAGTAAATCTTCCGCGCTACACACCGGAAACTATTCGGTGCCACAGTGAGTCACCAAGACTTTGGCAGCTCTAGGCATTAGCTCCTACGAAAATGAAAAAAATGTTTCTTGGACTTATCAGAAGTTTAGACTTTACCAAAAGCTAAGTTCGGAAAAAAGTAGTTGAGTTTAGCGTCCTGAGACTTTCATAGGATGGAAGAAGAGAAGAAGTGTGGCTGGATACGTGTATTCCGAAGAGAACAGACCAAATGGGCCACAGCGTGGCCCGAAGGCCAGCCCACGAGTACAAGGACTAGACAAATCCTAAAGTGACCGCCGAACGTCAGGTAGTCACACTTCTGCTGGATATTGCTGCTCTCAGCTTAGGCTCCTTTAGCTTGGTTTCTTTAAGAGGCCATTTTGAATATCGTCACTTTGGAACTGAAAACACTTACTAGTTGGGATTGGAATAGGTAGGAAATAAGAGTATGCATATCGTGGTCTTTGATGGTCGTCCCACCCCTTTCGAGATCTATGGTAGTTGCCTCACTCTGGTACACATGGACCAAGCCAAATTCCCATCCCTTCTTACTTTGAATTCATCAATGCAGTTTGCCCTAACATCTTCTATCTAATAAGGAGTCTCGGAAAGCAAAACAATTGACCGCAATACCTATGAGATTGACGGTTACAATGGCACTCATTTTGCTATTAGCTGCCCAGGGAAATTTTATCTTACTTGTAACTGTGTGTCCTAAATTTATCATCCTCACGCGGCCCTTTTTAATCTGCGATGAATGGATATACACATATTTCTAAATATTATGGAACACAAAATATTAAAACCCATCCTTTTAGCTGACTAATGTAGTAAGGTTCTTACTACATAGTCATATAATTTTGTAAGTAAATATTACGCAGACTAGAAGAAATTAATCTATGTTAGATTTTTATGCACTTAAAATCGAATTCCTACACTCTTAAAAAATCTTAAAAAATTAGCCGCATTAAAATAAAATTGTTATTTAATGGTTATTACAGTATATTTTTCTGTTTTTTACTTAGAAAGTTATATACCTTTCCGAATACATTTTTGTTTATAATTATGGTTGATTCGGCGCTCTACACAGATTTTTCTTGGAACCAATAAGGACTCAATAGGTGGTGGTGGATTTCCTTTCATATGCGAAGGAGATGCTTTCAGCGAACCCCGTTAGTTAGTCGTGTTTTCTAGTTTTGCTTTTACTTTTATTGCATCCGCCTTTGTTTTCGTTTATGGGTTAGGGCTCATTAATATTATCTGTCTGTCAACTCACAGTAGCTATCCGTCCCGTGTTCTCCTAAACTGTTAATGAGATTGTATTTACTTTTGGGTTGTGAGCTATCGTATCTCGATTTGCAACGAGTCGGTTTTATGTCACAATTCGATGCGCGTTTTCGTTTGCATTGCCCTTGTTGACAAGGGGATCAGTTATCGAACTTGTCTGTTAATTCTCATGGATCTCAAATTTTCCCTGCAACCATTTCTGGTGTCAACTCTTTTTTGCCAGCTCTTAGAAGTTTTTAAGCTGATGTACCGCGAATATTCATCTTATGGGCTCGCAATGACGTTTTTTACAATTT